CAGTTTTTAGTAGTTTACTCAGCTGAAGGTTTGTTTGATTTGGATTTCTACTAGGAAGCTTAGAAAATATGAAAGTAATGCATTTTTTAAATTTCATTGAAATAATCTTCATATTCCTAAAGATATTCAAATTTCCTGGCCAATACAGCACCCAGGAGATGCAGCATTTTCTATAGTGCCATACATGCATTCTTAACTTTGAAATGGAACAAGAAGGAAATATTTATATTTGGCTGTACCTTAATTTAATTTATTTAATTAATTAAGCTAGGAATTCCTGAAGCAAAGAGCACGTTAGTATGAGCTTTTCTTTTCTTTCTCAATAAAACTGATCTGTTATTGAAATGCTCAGCTGAAAATCAGATCTTTTACTTAGGGGAATACTCATTTGCCTGGCTGTAAGCTGAAAATCTTTCATAGTTTCAGTTCTTCCACTATGAAGGCAGCTTCTGTGCTAGGAATTTTAGGACGACAATCTTGAAATGTTATTAATAAGAACTTAGTGTATACTTCATATTTGATGTAGGTGCACTCTGCCTCCTAATGGAAGTCGCATGTGTTTTTCCCTCAAGTATGCACCGGTAAGTAATGACCCATCATCAGGCAGTAACTGATGACAATTGATCATATGGCCATCTACAGCAGCAAGAAATTAGAGTAATCTCTCAAGAGAATAATCAGGGAACAATTTTCCAGGGTCATTACTAGCAAAGAAGCTTGCTGAAGAAGAAAACAGTCTCAGTCTTCACTCTGGATTTTCTTTTCTCCTCTGGATTTCATTTTATACACAAGGTTTACATTTGGTTTTAAAAAATTTTATGAGGCAGACTGAAATGTTAAGGGGATTAAGGAATGGGAGACAGTCTTTCACCTCCAAGTCTTCAGTTCAAATCCAGCTTAGGTTGGTAATGAACAAGAAGTATTTACCATTGCTGTTCACTGTCTGTGCAAAATGGATTGGTGGCTCTGGCTCAATTCCCAGCAACAAACCTGCATGCCACAACTGGCAACTCCATTGCCATTCTCAGCAGACAGTGCCAAGAATTAAATGAAGCATAGGAAGCAAAGTTACCTCTCCCCCACTACAGGCCAGGGTGGAGGCACATTGGGAGGAGAAACTTTCTCTGCTGTGCCACAGTTTGAGCACAGAGACATCTGTTTAGTGGGCTGACAAACTACCACTTTTTCATGAAGTGAATTCACTAATTGTCTTAAAATATTAAAATCAGTTGCCATCTAGGGTGGGGCAGATTAGTGACTTGGACTAAGCCATGTTGTTCTTTGTGCTAAAGCATAGATTAACCTGCAATTACAAAGAGATTGAAAATTGATGTAAATGCAATGGATTCCCACTAGAAAAAGCCTGTCCTGCCTGTGACAATACCCTAGAACAGAAAACAAATCATGACCTTTTTTTCCCCAGCAGTCACATGAAACATAATTTCTCAGTCTGGGAGACTTTGACTCATTAGCACCAGAAGCCACTAGACCAGGAAGTTTGTTTTTCCTCAAACCATAAACTTAGAGTAATTCCACTGAAATAAATGGAACCAACCACCCACACAGAGCAGCATAAAAGGAAGCAGAGCACACCCCAATATTTATCTGGCCAACACTGGAAAGAAAAAGTGACTAGCACAAACTAAAACATGCCACCACACTTCAGTGCTGAGGACATCAGCACCATCAACAGGAAGGACACTGAACATCCTTGCACATGAGCACAGCAAGAAAATAATTCAGCCTAGGCTTTAAGCCATGGAGTGACTTTACCATTGAATAGTGCTGACTGAAAAATGCATGAATTTCATTCTAAAAATAGCAAGATGGGTCAAGAGAATAATGATCTCAGTCTACACAGCTAGATGAATTTATGGTGATGCCCTCTTTTATATTTTATAGGATATTCACTATGGACCCTACATTTTCCATGACTTTGAACACTTTATTTATCCATATTTTATTACCAGTGTAAACCTAATTATCACAGCATCTTCATGCTGAAAGTGATTGATAGATTTTGCTACTTGCTTGTCAAGATGCTCATGTTCACTCTATTCAGCTATCACACCAATCCAGAGACTGATGACTGTTCTGGCCTATTAATAAAAGTCTATTACAGTGCATTGATGCTACTTCTCTCAAACAATATTAATGCAAGCACTGCAGCAAGAGGCATACTTTTAACTTGCTACAATACAATGAGGCCTATTTCATTACAATTACTCTTTTACATTTTACTGATGTCCATTCTTATACATAAAGAACAATCACAAAGTCTTCTCCCTTATTTTCCCATTGTTTTAAAAATGTGCTGTTCACCAACCCATTATTATGAAAGCAATTAGTGATTTTTCAGTACCTGTACTTGCAACTGCTGAAATTGAAATAATATGAAGTGCACTTCATATGAAGACAACTTCATGAAACACTACCTTTCAAAAACAACAGAATCACAAATTGACAACTCAGACATTGAAGGACTCAAGACTAATCACTGATTGTGAAGATCTTATGTTAGAGTTCAACTGGCAACAGGCAATGAATGAAAAGCGTTTCTGCAAATAATCAAATAATATGAGATAGGAACGCAAAATAATAAAAAAAACCCCACCAACCTCGAACATGCTCAAAGTGGTAAAGGCAATATACTGTCAATTTGGTTTTTCTTCTTATCAAGAAGGACATTCTATTTTACTCAAAGTGCTCCTCTAGGATGAACTTGCCTTCTGCCACTTGAGTTTTGGTTTGATATTATGATGTTCAAACTGAAATGTCTTGATCCTGCTAAAGAAGCTAAATTGTTAACAGTTAAGATACTTCCAAGACTTCCAGATATGGGGGCAAAACTCAGCCTGCAAATCAGGAAAATGGCAAATGGATAAAAGACACTGACCTCTAATACCTTAACTCAACTTCTTTTTTGTTAAATAGAAGTTGAATAAGCTTCTAATTCTAGAGCTTCCAGAGTCACTTCACAGTATTTTAAATGGAACAATCTGAAAAACAATGAAACTGACTCTGTCCAACAAAATGCTTACAAACTGTTTAGCTTTAAGCACGCCATCAATACCTGTTAGTTTTCTTTGTTGAAGATACTTACCTTGCAGCAGTTAAGCATGCACTTAACTGTTTCACTGTGAGTCAATAGCCTTATAAAAACCAACAAGGCTTTAGTATGAAATGATGTCAATACTTCTGTTTGTAATACGTATAATTCTCCAGAAAATCTAGGTTCAGCAATCATAATCTGAATTAGCATGCCTAGATACTCAGCCTGCACCAAATGTTGGTGCTTTACTGATTTTAAGGAACCCATTGAAAATACAGCCTCAGGACCCCAAACAGTGTGGGTAGCGCTAACGGCTCTCAGAGGCTGAAGGCTTGGAGCTCACTCAGAGAGGTTGTGCTGGATTTAGTGATAATGGCTTAAGAGGTTACCTCTCCCAGCTGTCTGCAGCAGACCCCCACCAGAAGCTGAAACAGAGCCATCAGGAAGTGATATGGTCCAGCCCTCATCCACAGAGCTCTGAGCCAGCACATTAATTTTAACTGCCAATGGTCTGCAAACTGTAACAATTGATAAACTGGCACTTGCTTACATCTGCTGCCTCCACTAGGAAGGTGGAAGTCTGAGGCAAAGTGGCAGGGTAGAGACATTAAGGGCAGTAACCCCTTCCTCCACTCCAACAGAATTAATAGCACTTGTTTGCCAGAGCCCTAATCTGCTCAGAGTAGAACAGTATGTTGAAAGAAGCAACTCCATTTAACTTCGTTTGGGGGGAATGAAGAGCAAGGATTTTCTACATTTCATGAGGCAGTGAATGGCAAAGAATTAGTGTATATACAGTACCCCTTGTAATTTTAATTCACATTGCCCCCTCTCAGTGAATAAATCTTGTTAAACCTTATCCTCTCAGAGACCATCTGGATGAAAACTATTCAGGAAACGTCACCATTGGTACAAGAACTTAAATCTCACCATAAATCTCAGCATGTCAAAACCAAGCATGCATGCCTTAAAGAAACTCTGCAGCTGTGACTCGCTCAGAGTTGCAGACATGTGTGTGCAAATGGTGCCTCCCAAGAAACACACTGCTACATTTCACTAACTCTTAAAAACAAATGAAAGTAAACTCAGGAATTTTCTCATTTTCAGATAGCTTTACCCTGGTTTTAGTATAAAAGAAACAAAACAGTTTAATAAAAGCTACATAAAATTTACTACCCTGTTATAACTGTACTGGTTGAAATGATCTCCACCCTTGTCCTTATCTTGCTCTGATTACTTCTCCCTCTCTTCCAAAGGACATGTGCTAATGTGGCAACCTATGCTGAAAATTGGAAATCATGATTACTTTGCTCTGTAATCTGATTGCCTGTACAGTTAGACACCTGCCTTCCTGGCAAATTTCTTTATGGTAACAGGGTAGGAGCAGGTTGGCCTTTTAAGTGCCAGATACTGACAAAACAGCTTCAATCTAAGCTCAGTGAGAACACTGCTGTTATCCAACAGCTCATATTCTCCTTTCTCCACCCCAAACCTAGTATAGCTTTTTTATACAGGAAAGGATTTTCTATTTAGTTCACTGACTTCAAAATATGGTGAAACATAATGCAAAATTTACAAGACAATCCATCTTGTAAGTGAAAAAATAGAAAAGTAACTAAGAGAAATAATCTAGACTCAATGCTTTGACAAAAAAATAAATGGGGGGCATAAATGCAGGCTTGTTGAAACAAAAGGTTCTGCAAATTTGCTTTATTTTCCTCATCTCCATATAGGGAAAAAACCCCCTGAAATACTGGAAAATTACTGAAATTATTGACTTCTGGTAATTTAAAAACTATTTCTGAAAAAAGATTCAAAAATAGCTTGTTCGGAAGCATATTTCAAGTAAGAAAAAAACTTATTAAACATAGGTAAATCCTAAGATGCACATTTTATTTTTATTTAGGCAAAATATTTTACTTTACTCAAACTGAAATAACTGGGAATAGGTTAATTAGATGTGCTAGATGAATACAAGTTTCATCAGCCAAAGCAAATGGAGTATTTGCTATCAACGTACCAGAACTGGTGAGCCAAGCTTTATCCAAAAGTTGTGCAGGTTTCTTGATGAGTCAGAAAAGTATCAGTGGAGGACTCAATGATCTTAAATTCTCCAACTTGCATGATTCTATGATTCTAAGATTACTGGACTTTACCCTTTAATTCAAATACAAGTGATCCAGGTTTATTTTGCAAGGTAGTCCTGTTCTGTGCAGCTGCATATCACCATGGTGAAGCATCTCAGCTACCATCAGAGCAGCAGACATGACCTGCTCATGCACGTTCTTGCTTGACTAACTATTAAAAAAAAGACAAAAAAAGAGGAATTCAATCAGAGGTAATAGGTGCTAGCAAGACATGCAAAGACTACCCTGGTGTCTCCCTGTGAAGCAACCATCCTTTCACCACAAGTGCAGAGATATTCAGTAAGAATTATCAGCCTCCACTGGAAAAGCAATGCTGTCTGGGCTGCAGCAAATGGGCTTCAGCATACAGTTGTCAAAGAACTGTAGAAGGAAGCAGTTGTATCCCCCATAAAGGAAACATTTGCTAGCTCAGAATGCAAGATGCTTGGCAATGCATTGTTGACACGTAAGGTGTATTGTTTCTTCTTTTTAAAGCTGTATCCCACGCTGGGCTCTAATTCCTCCCACATGAATTTCTAGACCAAACTGGGGAGCTAAATGAGGAAGGGGTACTGTTTTTCTCTGCCTGCATAGTCAATTGATGAAAACACATGGGCTCAATTTGCCTCTGGAAGTGCATGTCACTTCGCAGCATCAATAGAGGAGCCTTGGGTGATTAGGTACTAACTTAGGTGCCACAGTTTTATGCTTGAAGTCAGGTGGCTCAAATCCAGAAGCAACTGTGCTTCTCCTTCTGTCCTAAATTGGTGCATGCTGCTGCTACACACTGCAAAACAAAAAGCAAAGAGTAGTAGTTTTCATGGAAGTGATAACAGCTAGTATAAAAGTTAGTGCTTTGGATCTAAACCTAGAATACTATTATTATTACAGGAATCCAGCCTGTTTCATATGTCCTTTAACTTCACTCCTTCAACTATGCAGTGCTGCAGAACTGAACATACTGTGTAAGATTATTTCCACTTTTCATGGAAGTTTGACCCAGAGCTAGCCACTACTGGAAGCAGAACAGCAAATTTTCAAGGCCAACTTGCTGCTCTGGTACAGTAAATCAGTTGTTCCTACAGCAAGTAGCATACAGATTTTTTTTTTCTTTTTCCAATGCATAATACAAGGAAAGGATGACTCAAGCTGAGTTTCACAGGTGAAGTTCAGATGAGTTCAGATCTATTCAAGTCCTCTCAATGTTTCCATATGCTTGACTCAAGTCCAAACATTTAATCGTAGCTCCAAACAAAAACTTCCAATGAAGAAGCAGAGCAGGGAATTGTGAACTCTGCTTTCCAGCACTAAGGACTTGAGTATTTTTTTTTGTAATCTGTCATTTGTACTTTTTCATACTAAAGGTGACAGTCTAATTCACATATGACCAACACCCATAAATCATGCTGGGGGGAGGAAATATTCATAAATCCATATCAAACAGAACCCAAATTATGACAAATGACATGGCAGTCATAAAATTGCACAAGCACAACTCACCAAGTCATTAATTTCATGGCCGTGGAAAATAAACAGACACATTTTTTTCGCAGCCCTAATAAATTTTAAAAAACTCAAAGAATGGTCCATCTGCTTCGAATAATTTTTAATTTCCTATTCTGTCTCGTTCCCATTAGCTATTCCACTGAGATATTTGCTAAATTCTTTCATTTGCCTCCTCCCATCTGTATTCAATTACTCTATTCCCAAATAGAGTTAGTTTTTCTTTCTCCTAAGTGCAGTACAAAATATCCCCACCTGTACCTTAAAGCAAATGTTATGTGTATTTTATTATCTGTTAGACTCTATGAGTCATTCTAACTCGATTGCCTGTGCTGAAAGACTTGGAGGGCAATCTGATTTTGATGTTTTCTGGCTTTGGTGAAAAACACCTGCCTGATTCTCATAGCTAATCTATTAACTTGGTAAATGCCTCAACAGATGTTCTAGAATCAGCTAGGGATCAGGGTCTGTCCTCGTGACAGCGTCCGCTTGTAAGCTTGAAATATTTAAATGTTCAGAGATCAGAGGCCAATGATGTGTTTTGGGTACAAGCTTTCACTAAATCATATTTTTTCAGTCAGTCCCTGGAGTGCATTCCACATACAATAAGTGGCTGGAGCGCTCTGACTGAGCAGGCCAACAATACAGGCCTCCTTGAACTTTGAAGGGACATGAATTTCAAGGCAGCATTGGCTTCTTTTATTGAAAAATGGAACAAATTTCAGACTGTGCCGATGCTGTTCCCTTTTAAGCTACATGTCTTTTTTTCCAGTTCCTTTTATTTCTTCCTAATGAAACCCATGTAAGTATAAGGCTTGGTTTGAGACCTCCCTTTCCAAGGATAACCTAATGTCTCCAAGGAACCTGTTCCAAGCCATCATCCTCTGTTTGGGTCAGCACTGGTCTGCATGATTCACTTACTGTGTGCCTGATCCTCCACTTTTTAACACTGATTTTAATCCAGGGTTGCTCCACTGACTCTAAGCCATTCCACTGTGTAACAGCCTCTGAGGGTCACAGACTGGCTGGGATCACCAGAGTAGAGCAATCCCTTGAGAAGGCCTTAGTCCTCCCGTAGGAAGGGTGGGATAGATGCATGACATCAGTGTCAAGCCCACATGAAGGGACTCCCATTTTGAATCTTAAGGCACTTTTCTGTCAATCTAGCACCACCAGAAAAACATGAATGAAAAATTAAAAAAAGGCTCACAACACAGAACAGCCCACAACCACTGCTGGCCTCATTCTCCTATAAGAAATTGCCTCTTGAAAATCAAAGCTGGACCTGAGGGCCTAAAAATGTTCATTACTTTTATGAGCTTTTATATTACCTTGATTCTTGTAAGACAAGCTCAGGATTGTGATAAAAAGTCCAAATGTTTCAAACTAAAATGGCTGCAAGCTCCACTGCAAAATTTTTCTCAATGAGATCACATAAAAGCAGAACAAACAGAAAGCAGGAGACCTTCCTCTGACCTTCACTCATCACTTGACTCTGGTCATTTTACCCTTTGTTTACCTCCACTTCTTCATTTGCTAAATAGGTACCATTAATGCAAACTTACTTTGTTGTTTTAAAGCTTAATTAGTTAATGTTTGTAAAGTGTTTTGAGATCAATAGAGCAGTATTACCAGCATATTCAAAATCTCATCTCTGCTGCTATTTGCTCTTGGAGGCTTGACAAAAAAGATTTCACTGTTCCACATCTTCAATAATGCTCAGAAGCAGCTCTGATGTTACAGCTCTCATATGAATGATCAGCAGATGGAGTTGGAGGAGTGAGAAGGGTAAGACAGATTCTTACTCTTCTCCTGTTACACATGCTGCTTTCTAGAAAACAGAAAATATGAAGGGAGGGTTGATATCAAATACTTAATCATGAAAGGAAAACACTGAAAGTACAGAGAACTCCTTATGTCTATTCTGAAATTACTGCAATTTTCAAAAGCACCTTTCTGGGAAAGCCATCAGGTTGGCCTCCAAGCCTGACAAGAGCTGGAGAAAGGTTCAAAATGTGAGATGAAGGAGAAGAAAGAAGAAAGGTTCACTAGAAACAGTGTTTCCAACTAAGGATCTACAGTGTAATTTACTTCATTAAGGAGGAAAAAGAGATTTTCTGTCTGTGATCACATACAAAAGAATTTGTCATTCTTAACTTACCTTCTACAAATAGTTTCTTCCTTCAGTTTTCAGACTGTACCTCTGCTAAAATTCAACTTAATCCCCCTGTCACTGAGATTAAAAAATTGAACTGGTTACTGGAAAGATACAATAACAAAGTTTGATTTTAAAGTATAATCCCTGCAATATTCTTATTATAAATTAAGCTGATATCATAGAAACATAGAATACATTGAGTTGGAAGGGACCCATCAGGATAATTGAGTTCAACTCCTGCCCCTGCACAGAATACCCCAAGAGTCACACCAGGCACTTCAGAGCATTGTCCAAACACTGCTTGAACTCTGTCAGGCTGGTGCTATGACCACTTCCCTGGGGAGCTGTTCCAACCACCCTCTGGCGAAGAACCATTTCCTCATATCCAACCTAAACCTCTCCTGCCTCAGCTTCAGGCCATTTCCTCAAATCCAATCACTGCTCACCAGAGTGAAGAGATCGGTGCCTATCCCTCCTCTTCCCCTCAGGAGAAAGTTGTAACTGCAGTGAGATCTCCCCTCAGTCTCCTCTTGTCCAGGATGAACAGAACCAGTGATCTCAGCTGCTTTGCATTTGGCTTCACCTCCAGACACTTCACCATCCCTGTGGCCCTCCTTTGGACACTTTCTAATAGTTTAATAATGCTTTTTTTTTAAATATTGTGATGCCTCCAGGACTCGAGGTTGCATCAATGCAGAGCAGAGTGGGACAGTCATCTCTTTTGTCCAGCTGGTGATGCTGTGCCCATGCACCCCAGATATGTTACATTCACTCTTCACTTCTTGTCTATTTGGACACTTCAGAAGTGGTATCACCAGAGGTAGATGTGATATGATCAGTGCATATGGCAAATATTGGCTTTTTCTTACGGACTCACCAACCTGGAGCTGATCTCCAGATTGAAGCAAGGTTATCTGCCTACACTTCTCTTTTGCAAAGGTTAAGATTATGGTTTGATTTCTGTAGTCTACAACAATTTAGAACCTTTTGTTTGTATTCTACATATCTTCTCTTCAGTATACATTTGAAAAGAAAGTTACTCTCCAGATTAACACAAGAAAAAATACATTTTTCATATCATATTCATGCAGCTCCATTGATATGAGTTTTATTACATTTGTAAACCCTTTGGTACAAATGAAGTACACAAGGTATAAACCAAGAATAATTCAGTATGATGTTGTTATAGCTGTCCACAGCAGAGGGTGCTAAGATTAAAGAGTTAACATTTGGTGCAATGGGAGCAAATTTGGAGCAAGCAGAGATAGATGTTTGTTGATTAGTGAAGTAATAAAGACATTGGTTGACTTTTCATGAATGATACCTCTACTGTTTGGGTTTATTTCCCTGAAATGCAGGTTTTTCATAAGAAAAGAAGTACAACATCCAGAGCAGAAAAATGATATGTGGTTTCTTGCATCAACAGTTTTACTCAGAAATTGAATTTAGCTTACACACTAATAAAAACAAATCAGATAAAACAAGCAAGCAGACTGTTCTCCTATACTTTGCCTCTTTTTTTCCCCAGAAGTCTTTAATTGTTCTCAGGGAGACACATTTATCTCACACCAAAAGCAGCCTTAAGTAACTGAAAGAGCAAAATTCAGGAATACTTCTGCCAGTGAAACTGGCTGTTACTGCAATGAAAATGAGCTATCTGACTGATAGCTTAGCTTCTATTGTGTTCCAGTGAAAACACATCCTTGAATTTAGAGCTGTGTAATGACATTATTACATTAAACTTGTTATTTGAAAATAGACAAACAGCTCCAAAAATATCCTGCTACCAGACACATGTTTGGCTTCATCTCTTCAGAGATGACTGAACACGTCATTAAGTCCTCCCTCCTTACAGCTACCAACTCATTGGTTTTCACAGACTGTTAAGCTTGTTCATGGGGCAAAGTGAAGCAGAAAGAAGGGAACAAAAGCCCTGAAGTATATGCCCAAAGGCTTGGAAAGATCACAAGTTTGCAAAGAATTACCATGTCTTTGGTTAATGAGTCACTCAGAATAGGAAGAAGTGACAATTTTTTACCTTTTGATGCAGTGTCCTTCATCAGTAGTTGTTCGTCTTCACCACACAAGGGAAGCCACCTGGATTCGCTAATCCTTCACTCACACGAGGCTTCTCTCCCATTGAGCCCAGCAGCAGCAATTGAGGTTCTCACTTTGAAACACCCTGGAGCCTGTCATCCTCAGCATCAGCTCTCTGACCTACAACACCAAACCAAAACAAAAAAAACCCTGTAAACAACATAAAGCAAACCAAAACCCACAAAACCCTCAACTTTATAGATATCAGCAATGAAGATAGGTTTTCTGCTTTCTAGTTTTGACCTCAGAGGAAGTGCTGATTTATACCAGAATGGGAAGTCACAGTTTGGGACAGAACAGATAGTTCAACAGTTCTGCTTAAAAGCACAGTACACTTGTGCTGCAGAAAGGCATGAGAGAAAGAAGGCTAAAAGACAGCCTTGCAGAGAAAACCCACATACACTGTGTCTGGAAACTTGTTGAAAATCCAGGCTTTGATCATCCAAGCAATGGAGGCGGCTCTACACAGAAACCTACTTGTTTCAGTAGAAGTTAGGAGGCCGAATGGGCACTGGGGTGATAGTTTTCAGGGATCCAGACTTCATAACTCACTAAGACCTTCATGCATAGAGCCTCAATTTCCCATCTTAGGGTAGGATGATGGGAATCTGGTTACTGACGATAAGCCAAAAAGAAAAACACAGTAATACTCAGTAGGGCACATACACAAGTCTTAATGGAAGAATTCCTGTTATGATGGGCATCATAATACTGAAATTCATTTAGCCACCATTCAATTACATACTCTTTTTTTTATTTCCCCTCCAAGTCACCAGTCTCACTAGGCATGACTGCTCACTGAAGAGTGAAGACAAGTAGTAAATAAAAAGCAATGAAAGCTGTTTTACATCTCTTTTCATCTCCACTACGCAGCTCCCTCAACCTTAAAATTTAAGGGAATAAAGACCAGGTTTTCTATGCAGACAATGAAAAGTATATGCATTGAATGTCAATTCTATAGGAAAGAAAAGAAATGACTGAAAGAAAGAAACCCATAAAAGGAAATGCACCACATTCTTCCACCCTCTACCCCAACAAATCCAATTAAACTTGCCAAGACACACACACATGCTGTCAATCATTCCAGATCCTATCCACCCTATCAATATTTCAGCAGCATTTCACTCTCTTACTTTCCAGGACTATGCACACTCCACACAGCATGCATTCATTGTTCCCCATGCTCCTTCCTTGCCCCTCTTAATCAGTCACAACAAGTCACATTCATTCCTTTCCTGCACCTTATGCTACACCAAACTAGCTGGTTAGCTGGCACAGACGAGCTCCTTTGTGCTCCATTGATGCTTTGGGGCTTGGCTGGTTGCGGGGGAGGTTGTTGTTTGTGGTTTGTCTGTTTGGTTTTTTTAAAGGGTGAAAGGTAGGATGCAAAATATGGCTATTTATAAACAAAAGAACACCAATAAATTGTGTTCATGCTTATAAAACAATTTTTCTTATTCTGAAATACTGCTAGCCTACTGTAGTGGCCTCATTCTAATGAACACAAGGAGTTTAGACTCAAAATTTCTAGGATTAGCAGATGCAAAAGTTCTCCAGAGTCCTTACATACCTGACATGGGCATTCTCAAAGCCTGCCTAGACATAACACCATTATCAAAATAACTTCCATAATTTGGACTTATGTTCTTATGCAAGCTGTTCTAGCTGAGAACATAACTCAGACTCCTTAATAGGAAGGGGAGATGCATGATGGCTTTTTCATTCTATGTCATGCACTCTCAGGGCTGCCCTTGAGCATGGACATACACAGTAACTCATTTTCATAGATAAGGATTATTTTGGGTGCACTAGAAAGATAACACTCATATCTTGTACCAGTAAAATAACAGGTCAATCGACTTTTTCTTTGAATTCTCACTTGACATCACCATGAGAAACATGGAAATTTAACATGAGTATTTCACTAACTGTTGGGCTGTCCTTACTGACATTACAGTCAGTAACCTAAAGTGGCTCCAAAACAATGGCTGGGCTTTCAGGCAGGCAGTAGCTATTCCAGCAGAGCAATCCGCCTATAAATTTTTTTCCCTTTTCCAGTGTTACTATGCCTTGAGCTGCTCCAGTATTAAGTGGATTCCAAGCTTGAAGCTGTGCGTTCCTATTCCATCCCTAGGACAGGATGGGAGATGAAGTTATGCTATCCAGATGAAGTCTCTCTAGCTATTGACAACTGAGCAAGCATTCACTAATGTTTAAATGAAAGTGAAGCTGAAAAGTTAATGTTTGAATTCATTCTGTGTAAAAAGTTGCAGCGAAACCATGAGTCTTTTATCTCTGATTTTTTTTTTTCTTTTACTGATAACAAGAGAAGCTTTATAATCTCAGAATGCACATTTTGTGCAGCAGCCTATTAAAATTTGACTGGAAGTTAAGGTGGTCATACAGGGAGAATTTTTAGGAGTGTATCTGAACTGAAGATGGGACTTTAAAGAGCATTTTTAGACTCAGAAATTTTAGCTCAGCAGGTGAAAGGCTATGATTCCAGAAAAGTAAAAATCCTCTTTGCAAAAGAAAGGAAAGTTTTAACCTTTGCCTGTGTCTGTTTGGATTCAAGGAAGAGTACAGACTGATCATTAAATCCTATGTATTATATATATTCCAAGCCAAATATATCCAGTTGCATGACTGGTCTTGGTCATCTGGTGGCTGTGCCAGCACATACAGTGGTCACCATTTCATTTTTTGTGCCATTTCATTTGTGCACTCCAGCCCTCTTGTATGGACATGTCCTGGATAGCATAACTTCATCTCCATAACTTCATCCTGGAGAGAACTGACAAGTACATTCCCTTGGAGGGTCTTGTGTTGCTTCCTCATGCTGAGGCATAGCACACAGTCCTCTGGGGCCCAAGGAAAAAGTCACTTGATCTTGCCTTGAAAGTGCAGGCAAGGCCAACTGCGTGTGGAGCGCCACAGCTTCCTCCAGCAGACACCCTGCTAATCATTTGAGAGTGGGCTGGGATTAACAGGACCTGGGTAAATAAAGCCTTCTTATTCAGATAGTTCACTGCCTTTTTCAGCAGTCTTGCTGGTGACCTATGCTTTGGAGAACCCCAATCCATCATCTAAAAGGGAGTTTCAGAGCTCCTTTGAAGCAATACTTTCTAAAAACATGAAGGGAACTGTGTAAACTTGGATCCAAGGTAAAAAAGCAAGAATCTCACTCTGCATAATTCCAGCTTTAATAGAGTCCTCAAAGTTCTGAAGGTGCTGTCCAGAAACTGTTTCTTCCTTGACCCTCAGAGTTAAAAAGTTTTTCACTTTTTAACTCTGAGAAACTTGCTTCCACAAAGCAAAAATCCAAATTTTGAGGAGGCAGAAGAAGAAAATGGCAAAATGAGGAAACCTGGTGATCATTGGTCCCCTGGGAAATTATCTATCCTGTAAATAATTAGCGTTTACTCACTTTTGTAATATGGTTATCTGCCAAACAGAAACACTGCTTGCTGCAAATAGCTCAGAGAGAAGAGTCAAAGCCAAAAGGAGCTTCTGAATGAGTCACCAATCAGACCTGACCATAGGGCACCTGGAGAATATTGACTGCAACATGACCCATTTTCTATATTTGGTGAGCAATATGTAATTTCCAAATAAATTGGAAAATTACTTTATGACTAAAAAGAAGTCTAAATTGTGCAGGCACACAGTCTGAGTGCCAACTACTTATCTCTGGTAACATGAACTCAGCTGACTTGGGGATTGCCTGGAGGCCTCCAGGGCACTAGCAAACACGGCATCAAATGACTCCAGCGCAGCCTTTTCGGAGAATTGTTTGACATAGAAGGATGCTGTGAGTCACCCTGGTTTTATGTGCAGTGTTTGTGGGAAGCCAGTGCAAAAAAAAGAGCTGAGGAGCATTCAAGAATGTAGCTGGCAAGGTGATGACATGTGATTCTAATAAGGAAATTACAGTTTTTCTCAGCCCTGGTTCTGGTAAGGGGTCACTTGCAGCAATGTGTGGAATTTCTTTAGAGTGATGCATCTTGCACCCTGTTCTTGGGAACACAGTGGGCAAAGCTCCCAGGGTATGATTGATTAAAATAGCTACCACATGTTTATCTGTGTATTTATCTGATGGTAGAAACCATGTGTATACACACACAGCAATTCTGACCTGAATTTACAACCAGGTCTACTGCACTAAGGATGTTATGAGGTAAAAATCACAGCTGAAAGGAGTAAAGCTCCCTCTGTTTATGTTGGAGGGGAGAATGAGTTCTGAAGTACTCAGCAAGCCAGATTTGCCTGTGAAGGATGCTTGCATTCTAATATTTGTTACGGTGCCTGCTCATGGAATGTGGAGAGAGTAAGGCAACAAAAAATGGGTGCCTGAGCCAGCATCTTCAACAGGGAGCAAATAAAGCTTGCCAACGGGGAGTCCAGAGGAGCCTCTCTCTTCCCTCTTTGCAATTTAGAACATATCTTCCCAGACCCTGACCTTGGTAATTTGCATTTAAAACTTGCAGCCCTGAATACAAGAGGCTTGGAATTACAATCTCACTTCTCAGAAGTGAGGAGGGGCTAATAGCTGTTGTCTTTCCTAACATATCCTAACATAGAAGAGTATGTGCCCTGTTCTAATCCATCAGCCTGGGGTTTAGGTCCTACACATGGAACTAGACTTCTGAGAGAGCCTGTTGGTGGTAGCCCAGCAAATGTGCACTTAAGCATTTAATCTATGAGTCTGGGTAGGTTTTAATTAAAGCAGGGCCCAGAATGGGCCAGCAATCTCAACACCAAGCAGCATTTTTGGTCACTTGACAACATTAACATCAATGGATTTTATCGTCTTCAGTGCTGAGTGACAGCCAAATGGGTTTTTGACAATTTAAAGAGTTTGTCACTTAGACCACTTGGTAGAACAGCCTTGTTCTCCTGTCATTTCATTTTCCCCAATGAGCCTCGGAAGCTATCATCGTTTCTACGTCTCTGCTGTTTCCTGGTACACTTCACTTCAAACCAGTCCACCACTGGAGATGCTGTTTGGAAGCTTTGATCTCAATTGACATTTTACTATGTAGACACTTAATGTGTTCCTCAGTCAAAAAAAGGGAAGGATCCTCCCACAGATTTATTCTGATTGTTTTTCCTGCTCCATC